CAGATGCTAGCAAAGAAAAGCAGATGATGAGCTTTCTCAATAGGAATACTGTCATATCTCGCTGAAGACTTGTGATCCTGAATGTTTCACACTTGTGAATTCACTACTAAGAAGAATAAGGAAAACAGGGGCAAGGAATTTATTTGTAATTCTTATTTTCCGAATCAAAAAACTTTCTTCCTTTCTTTCCAACTGCAGTTCTCATTCCACCCCCAGACTCGACCAAAATTGCATGTTTCTTCTCTTCTTCACTCCCACCTACCATAGCCAGTTTCTGTCGCATCCTCTGTTAACAAAAGGGATGAATGTTGTCTAATTGAGCTTAAGTACTAGGTAGGAATATTACTTTGCATAGAATTTAAGGCACAATAAGATAAGTGCTGGATTGTTCCTTCTGTGGTGAAGCAACTGCATTCGCCACTGTTTTCAAAGAAGCTTCCTATGAAATGATTCCTGTGGCCAAAACCTCCCCTTTCCACATGTTAGGTGTCCAGTGACAGTGAAGGCATTAACTAGGGTAAGGAGCCATTTGGGTTGGTGTATTCTCACTGGAAGTAAACCAAGAAGAATAAACGATTGAGTTCTTACACATCTAAGTTTTAAATTTCATAGATGGTGAAGTAAATAGGATGCCCATATCTAAGTTAGAAGCTAAAATATGGAAGCTACTTGGAATTTGTTATGAAAAAAAGTGGGAATAAAAAATATTAAAAAAACATTGTTCAGGGACTGAGAAGCTATTTAATAGTAATTATTAATTTAGCATGCCTTTAAACCCTTTTCCACCTCATCAACAACGTTTTCCAAGGATTTTTAGACAAGTCTGTGTTGAAGTTCTCATCAAGCCAATGGTTTCCATTTGATTGAATGTTGGGGGATTTCAATTGCAGTGCCCTTTTGAGAATTTTTGATGGCAAAGTGTGGATTCCCATATTTAACTGAATATGTGTAGACTCTAGAGATGCTGTGGGTTTTAGAGGAGTAATAATGATGAAAACTGACACTAGTACCATAAAATCCTGGCTTCTAATTTTCTATGTTAAATTTCAGATGTATTTTTCATTATAATTATTATAGTAGATATTAGGCTAGTAGTTATTAAAATGACTGGCACAAACTTAACTCTTTGAGAAGGCAGAAGATCCCTCATTGGTCATTGGCTGACATCCTGGCAACATTGTTGTCAGTATTCAGACAATGTTATTTGGACCCTCATTTCAACATATGAGATGCAAAGTTCTATAGTTTGCACCCAAAATTTCTTGAAAGAAACCGTATGACATTGTGCATTTTTTTAATGTAAAGTGAGCTTTGAAAGGCACTTGACTAGTCCCAAAGAGCTGTAGCCATTTGAATTGCTGCACATTGCTTCATTTGCAACATAGCTAATATTGAACACAAGTTAGATCATTTCTGTGGCATCGGTATTAAAAATGAACATTGTGATCATGAAGGAATTGATTTACTTTCAGGAACATC